AAAACCACTCTTTTCTCCATCTAAAAAGAATCTTATAATAAAAAAGTATAAAGACGAAAGGCTACCCTACTTTCCTTTTGTTGTTCTTCTGAATAGGGTGGGAAGAAGAGAAACAAACCCATGAGAAGGTACAATACCTAGCTTGAAACATCCTAGGATGAGGATAAAAAAGAGATGGCTAGATACTTATATCATCAACTACCATTTGTTCTCCTGATCCATGAAAGTCTTACCAGCCAAATTACTTTCTCAGACTGAGGTAATCCCTATATAAAAGCTGCAATAAGGAATTTTAAAATATTTTTTAGCTTTCTAATCAATTCCCTCCACACACAATATGCCAATCCTTGGCTGTTTTTCTATCAAATTTATTTTCTATCAAATACCTTTCATTCAAAAGTAGGAATGTGCCTGTTTATATTTATCTGTACCCTGTCCAGCTATCATGACAGACAAGGTTTCTTCCTCTTCCTCTTCCTCTTCCTCTTCCTCCTCCTCCTCCTCCTCTTCCTCTTCTTCTTCTTCTTGTTTTTTTTGACAGAATCTTGCTATGTAGTTCAGGCTTGCCTTGAACTTACTATGCAGCTCAGGCTGGCCTTGAACTTGTGGCCATCTTTCAACCTCAGCTTCCCAAGTGCTGGGATTATAGGCATGCACTACCACGCCCTGTGAACAGTTTGAAACAATGACAAAATATGTGCTCAATAAATATCTGCTGAATAAATGAAACATTCTGAGTAGTTTTTAACTTGGTAATTCTTCTCCAAGACCAAAATTAAATATAAGAATTTTCTTCCATCTCCCTTTGGGAGATAATTCTTATATTAAACCAACCATACTTAAAAATCCCACTTCCTGTAGATTATCTTGATATAAAGTGTTGTCAGATATACATATAAATACCATTTCATCCACTTAATAGCTGTATGATATTGATCAGGTTATTTAACTTCTTTAAGATGCAGTTTCCTCTTCTTTAAGATGAATTACCACTTACTTAATTTGAATGTTCTGAGGCTTATTCATACATAGGCAGTTTTCACTTTGTGGGCTTCCAACACATACAAATTTCAGTTACCACAGTTTAAATGATGCCAATCCCCTAACAACACAATTCAAATTTCAGTTAACACTATTTTTTTTGTTTTTGTTTGGTTTGGTTTTTTGAGACAAGTGTCTTGGCCCTGAACTTGTGGTGATCCTCTTGCCTTGGCTTCTTGAGTGCTGGGTTTACACAGACATGTGCCACTATGCCTGGAAAAACTATGTACTAGAGGTGAGTAACTGAATATAGTACACACTGTGCTGTTAGATCTTCAGTCCACAAATCATTACCAAAACAACAAAAGAACATCAAATCAGTGGTTAACCAATCACTTCTGACAAAGTCTGTTACTGATGAGTCACTATGTATCTGTTATTGAGTTAATAAAGGGAACAAAACATGTAGTTCAGTTGCCTCCTTATATCCTGGTGATAAACTTATAGGGTATTTTATGAAAATAAATACTAGAAAGAAGAAACTGGTGAATACTGATGAAAGGTCAGCAGAGAAACAAAAAACGATAGCTAATCATGAAAATGATGATACTGGTATTGATTAAGAGACTAGATATGCAGCTTGGGGAATTTAACGAAGACAAACTTAACAATATAAATGAACACAGCAATTGTGGCAAAAGAGATGACATCCCAGAAGTGAAAGTGGCAAAACCCTCCAAATTAAAGAACTCAGAGATATTTCATAATATTGAAAGTATAGAAAATAAACTATTGAAAGTTGATCTAAACTTAGAAAAGATTTGCCAAGGCACAGGGAAAATGCTCACTCCATGCCATAAGCTATATGATAAGGAAAGAACTGTTCAAATTATTTTTTATGTTATTTTACAAAGAAATAAAACACTGCAATTCTCAATATTTAAAATATTTGTAATCAACTATAATTTACAATGGATTTACAATGTTTGAGAAAAATTTTTAAAGGTCACAGAACAATTGTAACTGTTCCTATTAAGATTGCTTTGCTTGGTTTTTAACTTGTGTGGTCACTTGTATGATCCTGCACTATCAAACAAAATGAGGACTGCCTCTATCTATAATTTCTGGCACATCAAAAAGCTATTATTTCACAACTCTACCTTTTCCTGGTTCTTACAATCTGTTCAAACAAAATGAATTAGAATTGATGTTGACTAATACTAAAAAGATTTTTCAGGTGCTGAAAGTGACTAAGAACTACCACATATTTGAACATGCAATTCCCTGAACTCATTAACCAAAACACATACAACCTAATGTTGAAAGATAGTTGAATAACTGGCAGAGTTATTCAATTTGTCCTTTGTGATAGTGCAGGATTTCAACATCTTCTATTTCCTTCATTCCTTGAATACAGAGGCAAAACAATGAATATGTGGTAGAATTAATGACAGGGAGTCAATATAGAACAACTTTAGAGTCAGCTGAGTACTATCTCTATAACAATTATTACAACCTTAGATAATCTGTGAAATGGGAATAATAATACCTTCTCTTGGAAATTATCATAAAACTCAAAAGATAACATTCATGAAGGGCTTAGAAAATTGTGGCGCAGTTAGCACTTAGGTAATAACTGTTATTAGCCTTAATATAACTCTTATTAATACTACCATTAATCTAATAACAATAAACCTGTATTTGTTTTGAACACACACTTTAAACATATTAATCAGCATATTTTTCAAAGATGAAATTCTTTTACTCTAAATTATTACAGACACCCACTACTTGCTATGGTTAGACAACTTAACCTCAACTTCCTCTAGATCATTGTCTCTCAAGGTACATGTGGTAAGGGCTGCGAATATATTCATTCATCCTCTTCCTGCAACTCCTCTAATTCTTATGTTAAAGTTTTTTATAGTCTTCTCAGAGTTCCTCTTCGAAGACACTGAGAACTAAAGCCATTTCCCATTTCTCAGAGCTATCTGCCAGAACACTAGTATCTTGTGTTCTTTTAGTCCACGTGACTCAACTGCCAGTTTTCTCTATTGATTCTAATCTAAAACCTTAATTCTAAACTTAAGAGTCATTATTACCTGTGTAGACTGATAAAGCTGCAAGGCATCTAAAGACTAACTATGGCATGTTTCTTTTCCCTGCTAAACAATTAATTCCTCATAAATATGAGTTAGTTGAACAATGTCTGCTTTAACACTTTTGGTGACAGAAAGCCTACTTAGCACCCAAGCGAACCTGTTCCATGATGATATCATCATCCATTAGAAAGTTTTTTTTATACTGAAGCAAAATTTTCTTCCTTACAGTTAAGTGTTCTCCATCTACTACCCCTAGAGAAACTGAAATTGTTCTAGAGAACGTCCAGATTCTAGAGGAACTGAGAAAGTTTACTATTTTTATGATAGCCTATACAATATTTGAAGACTCTTAAGAAAAGAGAAAAAAAAAAGTTACACATTTCCAGCTCAGACAACATGATTTTAAGTTTTTTACCTTATGGTCATGGCTTTCGGAACTAGGAATGGATTTGTCAAAGTGATCTAACAACCAATTGATAAAGTGCTTCCTTTGCTAATATTGAAATATGCCACATAATTATACTACAAATGATCATTTTGCTCATATTTCCCCATTATTATGTAAAATTAATTTAAACTAGCAGCTCAGAAAAAGTGACTCTTGGCCTAAATCATGCTCTCAAGGGAATAGTACTAAGAACCCTACAAAAAGAGTCCTGTTTTGTTTTTTGAATTTAGTCAACCACTCAAACAGAATAAAGTAGGATCATCTGGCATGCAACTCTTGTCTCATTCCTACCAAGCCAAACACACATAGATTGGACAAGGACTAAACAATGGGAAAAGTTAGCTAAAAAAAAAGTTTTGCTTCATGTCCTATGAAAGTGGATCCATTTAAAAGAAAGCAGTAATAGTCAAAAGATATTCTCTAAATCTTGTCAGAAGCAAGTACCTTAAAGTAGGATCAAACTTTATGCTCTCAAAACTTTACCAAATTAAATAATAGAAAAAGAAGTGGCGGATTTTTCCTAGCTTTGAAGGAACAATCACCTAGGAACAGAGAGAAAGAGAGACAGACAGACAGACACAGAGACTGAGAAAGAGAGAGACAACCGAGACCTGCCCAGGCCAGCAGTGCCTGCCTGTTAGAACAGTAGCTAGAAGTAGAACCTTAAGTCCTCAGAAGGCGCATTCAGGGGAAGCAGTGTCCTCAGATGACCATTAACTCCTAGGAAGTCAGATAAGACAGAGTGCAGCAGCAGCAAGGACTAGGTCCCTCGTGCTCTTGGAAGCCTGGCATGAGGAGGAAGGTAGATCAGGTGCTTCGCCTTCTACTTCTGGTAAAAAAAAAAAAAAAAAAAGACAGTTGGATAGGCACAATCAAGAGTGCAGACGATCTCTGGTACCTGAAGACACGGGGAAGGGGGTGTCAACCCTCAGAAATAGTAAAATTCTTCCCTAGAGGAGAGAGAAGAGATCTAATAAGAACAAAGAGGAAAAGAAAGACCTTAGAGTTCTCACAGACTTGGAGGAAGATGAAGCTCAGAAGTGTCTCCTCCCATTAGTGGTGGTGTAACAGCGAGCAGGTGTCCTGGGCCCTCATTTCAGGCAGGGCCTTTCACCCCTAGCCTCTTCTCTGGCTCCCCACCACTCCTGGCCTGCCCTACTCCACCGCTCAGGTAGGAATTTCTGTTCCCAGCCCCGCTCCTTCGCTTTCTCCTCAGGTCCAGCAGGGGCTCCCCACTTCCTTTCCGTCCCAACCTGAAGGGCCCCTGCCGCCAGTTCAGATGGCTGCAGTCTTCACTCGACACCCGGGATCCCCTGTCCATTCTCCACGTCCCCGCGGTCCCGCAAGCCCTTCTCCGCTCCCCGGCTGGGCCTGGAGCCTTCCTCGAGGCCAGGTTCGCCCTCTGCCTTCTCCACACCGCGTCTCCCCACAGCCCAGCACCCTCGCTCCTCGCCTCAGGCCACACTCACAGAACTCAGCGATATACTGGGTCACGGTATAGTTCTCTTCGCACCAGTCCAGAGTAGAGGTTGTGGGACCCCAGTAGCCCTCCCGGTCCACGGCCGGAGCCATCGCGCCGCC